AATTGCTGACCGTATTGCGAGACAAACAACCGCAGCAGCCTGTCGTCTGGGTCATATTGTGCTGACTGATGACAGTCACCCTTTGCACCCAAGATTTAATCGCGCTTTGTTCCTGTATTATGCCAGCCGTAGCCGGGTCAACACTTTCCTAGCTCAAACAGAATTCCACCGGCGATCCATCCTATCTTTCGTGGCAAGGATTTTGAGACAGTCAGAGATACAAGAGCAATTATTTGTGCATAATTTGACCTACCATTAACCTCTTGTGTGCATATATTTCATGGCCTTATGATCAGACAGCAATAATGTGTAAAGATGCGCTTTGCTGACAGCAACACTTGTTGCACAAGCTAATAAGCCTGATCTGACCTTCGTGATTTTAGGTGAAAATTTTCAGTTTGAAAATGAATTTTTCAGTGAAGCAAAGACCGTTTACAACTAACGTTTCATAAAGTCAACATATTACGACCTGTTATTACAGAGGTTTCAGTATCAACCTAACAGAACTAACGTACGAAGAAAATAGTTTACGCCCAATAATCCATAACGTCTGTTTTAAAATTATCTTAACACTATCCTTAAATTGAGTGTTTAACGTTGGTGGTCATATTGAAAATAGCACGAAACGGTTTATTTATAAATAGTGCAAATAACTTGGTCAATCCGATGATTTGTCAGCGCTAACGTTACAGCTCGAGTATCAAAAGCCTTTTTCAAGGAGGAGGTGGAGGCAGGTCGAAAGTCGTTTTTGTCGTTTGCAAAGTTGCGCACATTTGATTTCTACAGCAGCGATTCTTTGCTCCGGATGTTTAAGGACAGGAACTGGAATGGCATAACGCTGGTCTGCAATTTAGCAAACCGAATCCCACTGAAACCGTGTCACTGGTGACTATTTTAACGAAAAGTGTCGTTTTAAAGCACGGTCAAGTTATTCAAGGGAATACTAGTGGGTTTGGATGGGTTTTTCTATCATTGTAACAGTCTATGAACTACATATGGAAAATTCTGAATCAAAAGGAGTGCACAGCTTGCCCTCCTAAGATCGAGATTGCGTTGCATTACGGCTAAATTGATTATATCCTTATTCACTAAGTCAAAAAAACCATTTTTACTTCTAAAGAAATTTTATCCTTTAATTCCTTAGTTAATGCTATAAGTTTTCTAGATACCGAAAGACAGCACAAAACGGTTTACCAATATACAATACAACAGAGTCAGTCTATCGACTAATAGACTGTTCGCGGGTCTCCTTCAGGGTTTGGTTGGTGATCTTTTGTTGGCGCATATTTGCTATTTGCAGCAGCTGGCTTGCGTCGAGCCGTAAGGCGGGCTTCTGTAGTTTGTTAACGACAGGCGGAACAGAGCACATTCAAAATAAGGGCGGGCACGTAGTATCAGCTTATCATCCCATAGACTTTTCCTGCGCTCTATTTAAACCGGGCTTTATGCTATTTCAGCATGATCGCCAACGCAAAAACAAAATATTGCATTCGAATTTTTAAAAGAATGACCATCTACCCTTGAGAACGAAATCAATGAGTCAAATTTCTTTGACATCT